TTCTAGTGCCATAATATCCTTCTTTAGAACAGGTGCCCGAAATTGCACAGCATATTCAATAGGTGGTCTTACCAGTTATTTATAAAGAGCCAAAATGATATTCTCATCCCGAGAATGAATGCCCTTTTTCATGCATGACAATACCTTACTGGCCTTAGCCACTGCTGATTGACAGTGCACATTGTTGCATAGTTTGTTGTCTATAACAATTCCCAAGTCCTTTTAGTGTGTTGTTATCCCTAATTCGCTTCCATTAAGGATATACGTTGCTTGTGTATTCTTTACGCCGAAGTGCATAACTTTGCATTTTTTGAACATTAAATTTCATCTGCCATTTCAGTGCCTAGTCCCGCAGCCTATCTAAATCCCTCTGCAGCAAAGTAATATTTTGCTCACATTGTATTATTTTACAGAGTTTTGTGTCATCTGCAAACACTGAAACATGACTTTCAATGCTTTTTCATGATAATTTATAAACATGTCAAATAGAAGGGGTCACAGAACAGAACCATGAGGGACACCACTTGCCACCTCTGTCCAGCTTGAAAATTTACCATTAATGACAACATTTTGTACTCTATTTTTAAGCCAATGTTCTACCCAAGAACAAGCATTTTCATCTAGACTGATTTCCTTGAGTTTGAACACTAATCCTTGTGTGGAACTGTATCAAATGCCTTGGCAAAACCCAAATAGATTACATGCACTGCAACACCCTGATCTATACTTCTACTTACTTCTTTGTAGAACACAAGTTAGTTTGACATGACCTGTGCGTCATAAAACCATGCCGATTTTTGCTGATAACCATGTTCTTCTCAAGGAATTCTTGAATATTATCCCTTAATAACCTTTCAAATATTTTCCCAGCCATAGAAGTTAAGCTCACAGGTCTATAATTTCCAGGCAAGGATTTTGAACCCTTTTTGAATATAGGAACCACATCTGCCTTCCTCCAATCCTCCGGCACACTTCCTGAAAGAAAAGAATCTTGAAAGATTAAAAACAGAGGTTCACTTATTTCTACACTTAGTTCCTTAAGTACTCGTGGATGGATACCGTCAGGCCCTGGAGCTTTGTTTATATTAACTTTCTTTAGTTGCTGCAGCACCTTTTCTTGAGAAGATATATATTATAGTATTTATGGAAGGCATATATGGAAGGTATAGAGTGTTTTGTGAGTTTGATTTCAGTTTACATACAAAACATTATTGGGATAGGTGGCACTTCAAAAACAATAGGTTATTATTCCTAGGATTTAAACAATAAATAAGGTGTTTGTTGTCATGGTGTATTATCAGTATACAGGTATATATACTAGCATTATATGGTGCTGTTAATTATATGAAATTATATTTTCAAGATCAATATAAAATGTGTTTCTTATCACTCCATATAATATGTATGTTACGAAGTACAATTAAAAAATAAGGCTATGAAAAGAGTTGGCAAACTAATGTCAGATATGAAACACTTAAAGCTATTTTTCCCATCTGGGTGCTTCAGGGGTAAATTAGCTGTGGATCAATATTTTTCATCATAATGGAAACAAAGTAACTTGGCGTTTCTATTGATTACCCTTTTCTCCAATTAGTGTTAAGTTAACTGTTTTTCTCATGTTTAAATTAATATGATTTGTGTTATTTTAGTGAGCCTACGATCTGTTTTTGTTGAACAGGGATTATTTTGCATTTAAAAAAAAAATAATAATAATATGCATGCGCCAGTTTACAGAAGGATTATATGGAACTGGAAAATGTGCACGGGTTTACAAATTTAATAAGGGAAACAACTTGTTGATATGAGTTGAATTCTGTTCTTGTAGTCACGAAAGATGTTTTTCTGTTTAGGCGCATAATTGGAAATAATTTCAAATAGTTTTTAAATCTTTTTTGGGGGATAAAGTAGAAGCAGAAACTTTAACTCTCGTTTGGACCATTTGACAAAAAATGTCTTCAACCCCAGTGAACTATTTTACAAAGCAACCATTCAGCATATATTATGATAGTGGGAAATAAGGTGGAATTCTTTGCAAATGTTTTAGTTCTTGTAACTGGCATGCTGTCTTTGAGTCAGTATTTTGCTGAATAATTTATTTACTGCACGCAGATTCCTTCCTAGTTATTTCCATTTCCTGCTGCAATTATAACTGGCTTGTTGTAATAAACATTCATTAAAACACGAACGCCTGAAGAAGCATAAGTCATTAACGCACAGCCACCGCTGCAGTGAAGCATGGAGGGTGCTGGGAAATCTAGCTGTAGGACCTACACTAATATGTGATAAAGACAGCAAAATTGGGGGATAACATACGTGTATTGAATATGAAGTAAATAAAATGTGACAGGCTTGTAGCAGTCTTCAATTTGAGCCCAGAAGCTGGAACCTGTATGGTAAAATCTGGGCTTGCTGCATATTTGTGAATTCCACTTCCCGTGATGCTCAGCCAGCCTTTGTCATCAACATGTCAAGCATCATGGGAAATTTAGTCCACAAACATCTGACATTGCCAAGTTGGCCATCGCCACACTAAAAATGGATGTGTTGTAAAATGTTATGTTGAGAAGAAAGTTTTTTTATTCTTTATCATATAATGTAAGAGATAATTACATGAGATATTTTTGAAAAGTTTAATAGCACTATGCTTTATCACATGTCAATGATATTTGGCAGAGATCAGTTACTATTGGTGTAAGTTATTGAATAAAATAATATACTGTTGATCTGATGTGAGCTATCTGTTACTGGTGGTACTTGGCTAGAAACCGATTGAGAAACTCTACTTTTGTGCATAGGTAAATTCTATCCCAAGATCCCTGCACTTGTCCAATGGGATGCTCTTATGATGGTTGTGATAATCATGGACATGCTTAGAACAACTTTTCATCTAGTTACATCATATAGTACTGTTGCTTCCATATTATTTAAATGCACAGTTTATTAATCAAACTATATGCAGATTTAGTGGTTATGGTGCCATTAGCTTGCAGATGCTAACCATCACTTTGGGTGCCTGGTTTCAGGCAAAATGCTCAATTCCTGCAGCTTAGCAGCACCAGTGGCATTTAGTGCTAATCCATATACTGTTCTACTAATATCAAATTATTTCTGCTCATCGGTGTACAGTCTCTCCACCTGGTGCACATTCTTATGACTTAATCTAGGACAGCTGGCGTATGCACACATGTTGGTTACACTTTGGTTTTGAGCTTTATTCTCTACCATTGTGTTCTGCAAACCTTAATCAGAAGTCATCAGCTCCAGACCAACCCAAATTTAAAAGTAGCTAAAGATAGAACCTTTTGTTTTTGAGGTGAGGTTAGAGGTGTGACCAGCAGTGTGGCTATTTCAGGACATTCCAGGTCAATTTAAACACTACGTAAGTATATTCATGGCCGTCTTTAATGCGGGGCAAATGGGGGGGCCCAAGGCAGCTGCCCCATTGGCCCCGCTGCTCTCAACAATTTTTTCCCCATCCTCTAAGCAGTCCCACCGGTGGCCCATGCGCGTAGGGCCACCCAGTGGGCTTGTATCAGCAGGGGCCCGGTCGGGCGCTGTGGCCCTTTAACAGCGCGAACGGGCCCCTTGCTTTTCAGCAGTATGGCAGTGTGTGTGTGTTAGTATATCTCTGTGTGTCAGTATGTCTGTCAGTGTATGTATCTGTGTGTCAGTATGTCTGTGTGTGTGTGTCAGTATTTCTGTCAGTGTTTGTATGTCAGTGTGTGTGTCAGTATGTCTATCAGTGTATGTGCCTTGGAACGGCTCATGATCCATGTGTGTGGGTGTGTCTATCAGTGTATGCATCTGTGTGTCAGTATGTCTGTCAGTGGATGTGCCTGTGTATGTGTGTTCATTTGTCTGTCAGTGTATATGCCTGTGCGTGTGTCAGTATGTCTATCAGTGTGTGTCAGTATGTCTACCAGTGTATGTGCTGTGTGTGTCAGTATGTCTGTCAGTGTATGTGCCTATGTGCTTGTATGTTGTCAGTATGTGTATCTGTGTGTTTATCTGTATGTAGTCAGTGTGTGTATCTGTGTATCTGCATGTGTGTCAGTGTGTGTACCTGTGCGTCTGAGCACCAACATTAAATACAAATACACCCCTCCATTCAAACTTTACCATTACATACACACACACTCATGCATTGAAACATCAACACTACATACAAACACATTCCTGCATTGAAACCTCAACACTATACAGAAACACACCTCTGTGTTAAACACCACAATAAAATATAAACAAACCCCTACATTCAAAAACCAACACTTGCATTTAAACTTCAACACCACATACAAACTCATTCACACAAACATACTCCATACAAACAC